TCAAGTTTAAATACTGCCACTTGAGCCCGGCCGGGTGGTTCAGTGGTTGAAAATTGACCTATGAACTAGGAGGTCACAGTTCGATTCCCGGTCAGGGCATATGCCCAGCTGTCGGCTTGATCCCCAGTGGGGGGTGTGCAGGAGGCAGCCAATCAATGATTCTCTCATCATTGATGTTTCTATGTCTCTCTCCTTCTCCCTTTCTCTCTGAAAACAATAAAAATATATTTAAGTCCTGCCACGTAAGGCCTTCTATTATTATTCCAATCCAAATTGACCTTCCCTTCTCTAAATTTCCATTATATTTATTCACTAAACAATTTCAAAATCTTTTTCCAAAACACTTCATATATTTGAGATTTGGAACTTAAATTTGTTTGCATATTACAGTGCATAAGCGATATCTTATATAGTGGTGCATAAATCATGTATTATCCATCAGGATCTCAGGTAACACCCCATAATCAAATATATTAATACATCTTCATCAAAATACATGAATTTTCACACTGAGATAAATAATGGTTATAAGTTAACTTCACTTCATTTTGGGTGATAACTAACACCCAATGAGTTATAAAAGAACTTTCAATTTTTGGAGATTTAGGGTTTCAGAATTATGGCTAAAGGATTATAGTGTCATTATTGTGAACATTATTGTGTCATTATTTTATGTCTCATCAGCTAGGTTTTAGTTGACCAAAATGGCTATTCACCTCTGGATCCCCAGGAAAAGTGTCTGGCATATACGTGGGTGTTCAATAAATTTGATGATTGAATGAATTAAAGGACTAAGTCTTATACTAGATTGAGTTTGTCAAGCAAAAGATTGTGTTCTTTTTGTCTTTAAATATATTTGTATTGATTTCAGAGAGGAAGGGAGAGGAAGAGAGAGAGAGAAACATCAATGATGAGAAAGAATCATTGACTGACTGCCTCCTGCACGGCCCACACTGGGTATTGAGCCTGCAACCCAGGCATGTGTCCTGACCGGGAATGGAACCTCAACCCCCTGGTTCATAGGTAGACATTCAACCACTGAGCCATGCCAGCTGGGCAAGATTGTATTATTTCTAGTCAACATCCTCAGCATCAAGGCCAGTGCCTGGCACTTGCAAATGCTAAAAAATGCTGATTGAGTGGAATCACATTTCTCAAATCTCTCACAGTAACTAACCTAGGGTCATAAGTACCTCATAAACACTTCACAATTCATCCCAATACCACTGACTTACAAAATTAGACTGATTCCCGTAGGGGAGAAAAAACATGGGTTGGAGGATATGGAGGGAGCAGTAGGAGAAGAAGTCTAGATGTGGCAAAAATTTGTTCTGGAAAAGTAATGATGCATGGAAGAGTATGTAACAGAGGCTTTGGGCTGCTCAAGAAGTCTTCCACATACCTGAAGAATTCTGGAGCCTTTATCTTAATGTCAAGTCTTCTCCTGACAACAACCCCTTTTCTGGGTCCCTGCATGACTTAGAATCCTCAACATCGCATTTGTACTTACAAACACATTGCCTTATTCCTCCCCTTATCTGGGTAGTTTCAGACTTTTATGGAGAGTTGGGCTAAGAGGTCACATGGTGGTAGAGACTGCCAACTGGCATGCTATATTTTAAACTGAACTTTTCTAAAGTAGAGATTTTGAATGTAATAGTGTATTAGTTTTTCAACTGCATACATTGTTTTTTAATATAGAATGTCTTTGAGCATGAGTGCAGGAGGTAATTATTGTTTGGGCAAATTGCTTTGTCTCTCTGTTTTAGTTTCCTTGTCAATAAATGAGACTATTACTTACCTCATAGTGCTGTAATGAAGGTAAAAAAACATAAGGTATATAAAATCTTCTCAGAAAGGAACATTATCACAGGTCACCAGATATAATACTCACTGTCACTGTAAGGCAACTGGATTTATAAGCCCTTAAACTAGCCCTGCATATCCAATGACAATATTTATGCTAATTAGTAATGACTTGCATTTGCATAGTGCTCTTGCTTTATAAAATGCTTCGTTAGTTAGGAAACTTGACCCCCAAATTATCCTTGCAGTAAAGAGAACATGCTATCCCAATTTACCAGTGAAGAAACTCCAGCCAAATGACAGAGTGACACTAAGTTCAGGTCACATTTACAGGAACAAGTTCTTCAGATCCAGGTTGATTCCAGCGCCTTAGCTCTTAATTCTCCCTACAGCATCCCATCCCTTCCACAAGTCTGATGTCAGTCAGCTCCAATTAAACTTGAAAAAATGCTACCATCTTTAGTAAACCTCAAAACCACATTCTCTTCCCTTATTTTCTGAGACAAAGTTGGCAATGTGCCTCACCCATCATTATCTAAGTATTAGAGGCCCGGTGCACAAAATTCATGCACTGGGCAGGGGGGGTTTCGCCAGCCTGGCCTGTGCCCTGTCACAGTGCAGGAGCCCCATGATCGATCGCCCCAAAGAGGTAGGCCCCGCCTACCCTCTGGGGCTCCTCTGCGGATTGCCCCAAAGAGGTAGGCCAGAGCCAGGGGTCCTGCCTCTGCGCCACACAGAGCTGGGAGATGGGAACCCCAGGACCCCCAAGCAGGCCTCCCCACATGGAGGCAGGACCCCCAGGACTCCCAGGCAGGCCTCACCATGCAAAGTTGGGAGGAGGCAGGACTCCCAGGCAGGCTCCGTGCTGTGCATGCAGTGTTAAGCCCAGCCCTGCCCACCTGCGCTCCACTGTGTGCCCAGCCATCATGTGACAGCGTGAGGACATCACAGTGTGACGACCACTTAGGCTTTTAAGGATGGACAGGGCTGAACCAATGAACATCCTCCCCACTACATACACCCAAAATAAGAAAAAGCACTAGAGACAGGTCACTACAGTACTACAAGGAAGAATGGGTTCCCAGAACTGTTTATTAAGGGCTGTTTTCTTTAGCTCTGATTCTTTCTTCATTTCTTTGAAAAGAAATCCTTACTTTGAATCCTACCAGTTTACATGACTTTTGGTACATTTAGAATAGAGTTTTGAGCAATGTGTTTCACAGGACACTAATGCTGCAAAATATTAATAAGTGTTATTTTTAAGTACATATATGTACACACACACACACACACATTTCAGGATTCCCTGATCAGAGGAAATTGGGAAACACTGGGTGAAGCAGAATTTACCAGATTTTTTTATTGTGGAAATCCTCAGGATCCATAATCTGTTACTGAGACTCTCTAGGGAGCAGACTGGGCCACATCTCTCAGACATATTTATCTGTAAGCTCTCCATCTCACAAAGCATCTTTTTAGTTTTAGTGTTCCATGGAACACACTTTGGGAAACTGCTTTAGAATATGTTCTATCGCAAAGTCTACATCTTTTGCTTATATCCCTTTTCTCAATTCTGAGCAGAATTGCTTCTTCCACATTGAATTTTTAGTAAATTTGCTATTTTCCACTTCAGGTAAGGGAATCCTTACTATATCAAAAACAGTTTCTACTCCTGAAATTGACCTCTACAAATTTTTGCTTGTTTTAAAATCACTTAAAGCAATGATTTCTTATCTGGAAAAAAAACACTTGCACAAACTCATAAATAGCAAATTAAAATCCCCGAATTTGGTCATACACTGTTTTTCAACCAAATGACATGAAGTTGAACTCATGGTTGTCATATGACTCTGGTAAGCAGAGGCCATCCGACCCTCAGGAAACCATAGCAACCACCACTGATAACCTGTACACTCTCTTACAATAAAATCATGTTATATATAAATGATACCAATAAATAAATAAAAGTCAAAACCTATCAATTATAAAATCATATTATTATGAAACAAGCAAAGCTCTAAAATTTAGGGATACCTTTTTTAAGTGCCTTACTCCTAGGAAATGCTTACTATTCAAAGAAATCAAATCATTCTCAGAGGACCAAACAGACTCCTAATTCTTAATTTCTGGTTATAACATTTCATTCTTATTGGAACTCTGAGACTTAAATTTGGGTTTTAGACTTGATGATAAGTCTTAAATGTAGGCATTATGTGTGTGTGTGTGTATGTGTGTGTGTCTGTACACACACACACACACACACTCACACACATATATATTAATTTGAACTAAAGGGGGGAAATGCAGTAGGATTTTACAACTTCTACATATTCGAGTCAATGGGAAATTTTCATGGAACTTTGAGTGTATATGGGTGTATTGCCTACACTGATTTGTGTTTCTCAATGTTGAAAAATATAGTACATTAACAAGAAAAAATTAAACCCATAAAATCATCTGATAAAGTCAATATCTACTATGTTTAATTTAATTAAATTTAAAAGCAAGTGCCTAAAGTAACCGGTTTGATAAAAAAAAACAACAACAACAACAAAAAAAACACCACGTTCTCTAAGCGGGTCCAATGTTTTTTTTATTATTATTACAAGTCAGAACATTCCGTATCTCTATTGCATTAAACTTCGTTCCAAGTGTTTCAGGGCCTCGAAAGAGGATCCAGCTTCAGGTTTCTGACATCAAAACCTTAACATGGCCCGGAGAATTCTCCTCCACACTTCAGGAGTAATCAAATTTCATGTTAACTATTAAGTTACAAACATGCACTTAGGTTTTCCAAACCTCTGCTTAGAAATTCAAAAGGCCCTTTAGAAAACAGCCTTCAACCAAAGCCCACGTTGGCAAGTGAAACCGTTTACCTGCCGGAGCTGAACAAAGAGGGGTCCCCGCAGTCCCTGCAGGCGCATTGCGAAGTGGCACGCGATGTCCCCCATTCCCATTGTGAGGCACAAATTCTTTGTGACACCGCGGAACAAAAATACTATTAGAAATGCTTCAAAAGGAACATTTTTGGCTGCGATAGAGACTTTTGACATTATTTATTAGGTTCAAAACTGTTTCACAAAAGGCTAACAATGGTTCTGTGGAAACCAGTACATCTGAGGCCCTTTCTGTTGTTCTGGGCAGGCATTGATTTGAAGATGGGCAGCCCGCGCCGAACAATTCCCTCGCAGCGGTCAGTGTAAGTGAGCATTCACCCCCGGCCTAGGAGGGGCCTGTGAACACGCCGTATGGAAACGCTAGGGTGGGCGGGAGAGGGGAGACAGCAAGCCTTGATTAACCTCTTTCAGGGGAGATGGGTGGGAGCCCCGGCAAAGTGAGGAAGGGGCGCTCCTGCCAGATTGCCATGGAGGGAGGCATCTGCCCTGAGCCCCTTTTCCCGCACCCCCTCCCTCAGGGATGAGGATGCTTGGGGAGCATCTCCGGTGCCATGGCAACTGGGCCTCCTCCAACTGGATTTCTGGGCTTGCCCTGGAGTCCGCTAAAGAATCTGGGTTGACCAGAGTGCCTTCAATGGCTGCCATCCATTCCTTCAGCTAGGTCTCTGAGGAACTTGGGGAGACCCTCTAAAGGGCAAAAGGGGTCCTGCAGAACCGGATGGCAGTGGAAGGTCCCACAGAAGGACCTGGGGGGGCAAACAAGGGTAGGAATGGCCCTCAAGTGTGCTGAATAAACCTATCCTGCCAGGACTTTTTATTTTATTTTTTAAAAATATATTGTTGATTTCAGAGAGGAAGGGAGAGGGAGAGGGAGAGAGAGAAACATCAATGATGAGAGAGAATCATTGATCAGCTGCCTCCTTCATGTCCTTCACTGGGGATCGAGCTCCCAACCCAGGCATGTGCCCTGACTGGGAATCCAATCGTGACCTCTTGGTTCATAGGTTGATGCTCAACCACTGAGTCAGGCCAGCTGGGCCACCACCAGGACTTTTTAAAAGAAGTCTCTCCTTCATAACTGAATGTTTGAGAAATCAACATTTGCAATGTGCTGAGAAAGAAAAGAAAAAAAATCCCCTGACATTATTATCCTCACAAGCTCCCTACAAATCTTTAAGGACATGAAATGCAACCTGTCCCTTTCCTGTTGTTTGAAAGCAGCTCCTCCAAATAATTTTCACAGAATTCTCATAAAACATTTTATTTCAAAAAAAACTGTTGAAAACTACTACAGAGAGGGAACGAGAAGAACTGGTGATGAAAATAGGGCCTCAAATTCTAAATTTGGGGAAACTTTGTGAATGGATAATTATTAACTGGAGTTAGAGCTCATGCAAAACAAATGATCCATAGCCCATTTCGACTTTCAACTGATAATGTAAAAATCCAAGAGCCAATTACTTCAGGAGTTTTTTTGTTTGTTTGTTTGTTTTGGTTTTTGTTTTGTTTTGTTTTTATTAGTTAAGATATTACAAATGTGTCCTCATCCCCCCCCATTAACCCCCAACCTCCCCCGACCCCGCAACCACTCATGCTCCCATCCCCCTGCTGTCCATGTCCATTGGTTTGGCTTATGTATGTGTATACAAGTCCTTCAGTTGATCTCCTCCCCTTACCCCCGCCCTCCCCTACTTTCCTTCTGGGGATTGATAGCCTGATTGCTGTCACTAGATTCTGCCTGATTTTGAACTTTCTCTCATACCACACATATACACACACACACACACACACACACACACACACACACATCTGGAAATTTTTACAGAGAAATTCTGCCCATTGACCTACACAAATTAAAGTCTAATTTTAAAGTAGTTAAGATAATTTACATGCTTTAAATCCCTTTCTTCAAGTTTTTAGAGAGCTTTGAAAAGCATATAGATGCCTAGAATATTTGGGACAATCTACAGGGTCATTTACAAATTCAAAAAATATGTAAAAGATTTAAAGTGCACATTATCTTCATAACAGCGGGTGTCAATAGGAGAAAAATAAAGCAGGAAAGATTAGGGTAGACCTACATACACTGAGTGGCCAGATTATTATGACCACCCCATCAGTACTTCATTGACACTTCCAAAAATACTGAATATTGAAAACTTCCTAAGAGCATACTCTCAAGGTTTTATTATTATTACTAGAGGCCCAGTGCACAAAAATTTGTGCACTTGGGGGGTCTCTCAGCCTGGCCTGTGCCCTCTCGCAGTCTGAGACCCCTCAGGGGATGTCCACCTGCTGGCTTAGGCCCCCTCCCTGGGGGGATCGGGCCTAAGCTGGCAGTCAGACATCCCTCTGGCAGCCCGAGAGCCCTTGGGGGATGTCCACCTGCCAGCGGGGAGCAGGCCTAAGCTGCAGTTGGACATCCTTAGTGCTGCTGAGGAGGCGGGAGAGGCTACCACCACCACCGCTGTGCTGGCAGCCATCAGCCTGGCTGTGGCTAAGCAGAACTACCCCTGTGGGATCACACTGACCACCAAGGGGCAACTCCTGCATTGAACGTCTGCCCCTGGTGGTCAGTGTGTGTCATAGTGACCAGTCATTCCCAGGGTTAATTTGCATATTACCATTTTATTATATAGGATAGAGGCCTGGTGCACGGGTGGGGGCTGGCTGGTTTGCCCTGAGGGGTGTCTTAGATCAGGGTGGGGGTCCCGCTGGGGTGCCTGGCCAGCCTGGGTGAGGGGCTGAGGGCTGTTTGCAGGCTGGTCATGCCCCTCAATGGGGACCCTCACCCCATGGGTGTGTGGCCAGCCTGGGTGAGGGGCTGATGGCCATTTTCAGGCTGGCCATGCCCCCTGGTGACCCAAGTTCCCAGACTGTCCTTTTTTACTTTTTCTTTTTTAGCAGGTATCTGGGATTTATTTATCTTCTATAATTGAAACTTTGTAGCCTTGAGCAGAGCCAAGGGCCAGCCAGGACAGGGGAAAGCTTGGCTTCCTCCATCGCCGGGGGCAACCCAAGCCGCCTTCTCGCTCCAGCTCCGTGGCCACCACCATCTTTGTGACGGAGTGGTGGAGTGATGGTTAATTTGCATATTACTCTTTTATTAGATAGGATTATTTGCATAACTAATTCACTTCATTGTACTGATGAGGTGGTCATAATAATCTGGCTACTCAGTGTATGTGATATTTCAGTGAAGACCTGAAGGAATTTAAAAACCAAACTAATTAAGTATCTGAGGAAAGAGGGTGATAAAATGAAAAGCATCTAGTACTTAGTGAGTGCTCAGTACCCAAGAGCTGTCACTGTCATATTTAGAATCATAATATAGGAATGCTCTGACCTGGAGTCAAATTGAAGGGTTGAAACCTGGCCCCAGCCCTAAAATTACAGAATCTCTGTGGGCCTCCAAATCTGTCTCTAAACCATCAAAAAATAAGAGTTGCTATCTCAGAGGGTGACCATAGGAATCAAAGCTGAAGATGTATGTTCAGATTTTAGCACATTGCCTTATATATAACTAGAGGCCCAGTGCACAAAATTTGTGCACAGGGGGTGGGGTATCCCCTCAGCCCAGCCTGCATCCTCTCCAATCTGGGACCCCTTGGAGGATGTCCAACTGCTGGTTTAGGCCTAATCCTGGGGATTGAGCTTAAACCGGCAGTCAGACATCCCTCTCACAATCCTGGACTGCTGGCTCCTAATCGCTCACCTGCATGCCTGCTTGGTTGCCCCTCACT